TAAGATTCCTTCCAACTCAAACCATTCCACGATTCTGTGACAATTCTGTGATTCTTGTCCATGCTTCTGATCAAGTCACTCCAACTCTCAGCCCTCGTTCAGAGTATGTCCTGGGGATCCCCATGGCAGAGGGGCAGTGGGTGAGGGGAGCCGAGGGTTGCACAGCCCTGTTTACTCACCAGGCTTGATGCAAACACAGCTCCTCCCTCACAAAACTGCAGAAATGTTCCCTTGCAGGAATGTGGGTGGTCAGAGCCTGCCATACAACAGGGAGGAAGAGAAGTCAGAGGAACTGCTAGAAAAAACACCAAGTATCTTCAAAAAATATTTTCTCAATCCACACGCCAAACCCTAAGTCTCAACAAGCTTCATTCTTGCATGAACAAAGATCAGGATCTGCAAATAAAAAATTGTTTCTGCAAGACAAACCCCAAAACCTCAAATTTGCTTAAGAAACAAAATCAAAGTGTTTTATTTCCCCATGCAGCAGCAGCAGCAGCCCTGGAGGCACTGCCTAAGGGCAGGGCAGGGCAGCAAGGACAGAGGTGCCACTGCTCACCTTGCAGACAGGAAGGGGAGAGGGGACACTGCTCCCCATCTTCCCCAGCTCCTGTGCTCGTTCTTGTCCTGTTTCCTGCAGCTCCCTCAGGAGCACAGTCCTGAGCACGGACCAGCCCCAGGATCTCCAGAATGCCCAGAATGGATGCCGTAAAGGCAAACACTTGGCGTCTCCACAAAGCCAGAAACTTTGGGAAGCACCAGCACCCACTTCAGCAACGTGTGTTTGTGGCCTCCCACTCCCAGCCCCCACGAGGACGGGCAGTGACCACTCCCAAGCCCTGGCACGGGTGAAGCCCTTGTGAAACCGATGGAAGAAACGGAACCGGGTCCTTCCGAGCCTGCGCCGCTGCTGCCTCGTCAGCCAAACCACCCTGCACGGCACATCCGAGCGCCTTCCTGTCTGCAGGAGCGCAGCTGGGAGCCCTGCTCCTCCTCTGCTGCCACTTGCATCTGCAAACGCTGGGCCACCAAGGCCTGTGCCCATGCCCTGAGTGCTGGCCTGCAGCCAGCTGTGAGCACAGCTGTCTGAGTGGGGAAGCTGTTATCCCACCCCCCCTTTGCAGCTCAGGCACTGCCAGCAGCTGCTCGCACCGCAGGATCCCTCCCAGCACCGAGCAGGAACAGGAGTGCTGGAAAAGCTCCTCCTGCCCCAGCACAGCATCCTCTGGCTCTGGAGCCAACATGCCCGTGGCTGTTCCTCCGTGGAGAAGCACCTGCATGCTCCAACCCCTTCAGAGCCCCCAGTCTCAGTCTGGGGTCACTGCCTGGGAATGCGCCGTGGGAAGCAGTGCTTGCTTCACTTCCGAGCGCTGCACATTGAGCAACCCCTGCTGCTGCTCTTGTTTGGTGTCCCTGGGAGGGGACAAGGGGCTCCTGTGGCAGGGCCACCCTCCTGCTTGCACTCACACCGTGAGGCACCACAGCACGCACTGGGGACGAAAACAGGGCAAAAGGGCATCGCTTGCCTTGTGAGAGAATTCCTGCAGGAATTCTGGAGGCAGACAGGGCTTGGAAAACAGAGTGAACCAAGCAGGCAGGCGATACCAGGGCAAGCTTCTCCCGGGTTGTGTGCCCGCTGCCTGTGGAGACTGGAGGGAAACATGCTTGGCCAAGGCATGAGGCTGAGGCTCCGCAAGGCATCACAAATTCATCACAAGGCGCATCTGCACGGTGCCAAATAAAACCACCTGCTGGGGGTTTGTTTTCTCTCTCCAAAAATCTTCTTGACAGTCCCCGCGTTTTAACAGCGCTCCTGCCATCCCACACATCCCCAAAGGCTCAGCGTACCCGGAATGCAAACTGCCTTTGGAAAAAGCTCCTTAAAATAGCGACAGAATTATTAATACAGTTCGTAAAACCTACAGACAGAGGATAGCTGTGGCATGAGCCTGCCCATGCTGGTGAGCCCACCAGCATCCTGCAGAGACCCCAGGCCTCAGCCTGCCACATCCCCTCCCAGTGAAGCCCCCCAATCCAGCTGCTCTGGGCGATACTGGGGAGGACTCACACAGTGCCCAGTTCAGCTGCTGTCCCCCAAATTCCAGGCTGACTCCCTCGTGTGACTCTGCACAGACCTTGGACTCCCCTCAGGCTCTGCAGCACAGCTGCTCCTGTGGTGCCACATGCAGCAGCCTCAGGGCACCAGCTGCCATGGCAAACCCCGCTCAAACCCCGCTCGCAGGCACCCGCGTTGGCACTTGACAGCTCCCCACGAGCACCCTGCAGCATTCCCACAAAACACACGGCAAATCTGGAAACCTGTTGGCACCAATGATTTGGATCTCCCCACTCACCGTTGCTCGGTGCCTGAGCAGGAGGGAGCAGCACGGCCTCGCCTCCCAAAACCGAGTCCGAGCAGCCAGCGGGGCCTGGCACAGGGAGGCGTCTGAAGAGGTTTCAAGCTGTGAGATGACTTTTGGACAGAGCCCGAGCATGCAAACAAACACAGAGAGGGACAGAGCAAAGGCCTCTGTGATGCAAACCATCCCCTGCCTGCAGAGGAGGGAAACCCAGCTCACGCTGCCGGCCCTGGTGCCAGCAACTCCAGCCACGAGTCCCAAGGAACTTGAGCTGGACAAAGCGTGGATGTCACATCCCTGACACACAGGGCACAGTAACTGATGGGCACTGCCAGGAGAGTGCCAGTGCTTTGCATGGGCTGCAAGGTACCAATGCAGCTGCTCAGGAGACTGTCTGCACCCCCTGACAAGGGACCCACATCCTACAGCCACCCCCAACTTGGTGCTGCCAACACCTCTCGAGCCTCAGCAGAGACTGACGCTGCCTGAGACCCAAAGGTGAAGCCTCTCACTGTGCACCCACCCTGCCCAGGCCACCACACTCATCCTGGTAGAGAAGGGCAGTCCCAACCCTGGCTGAGCTCTGGACAGATGGACAGACAGACACCCTCAGCCCATGGGTGCCTCTGTGTACGGCAGTGATCAGGCTATGGGGGCACAGCTTGGTGCTGGCTACCAGAGGGGTGCCATGGGAGCGGGGAGAGGGCACCATGTGCCAAAGAGCAGAATGGGAGGACAAAGGTATGAGGACACTGCACTGAGCACCTTGTCCCACCTGCCGTGCATCCTGCACTGAGTTCTGTGCACTGAGCACCCTGCGGCCACCTCAGCACCCCCTGCACTGCACTGAGCACCCTGCACCCAGCACCACTGTCTGAACTGAGCACTGAGCACCCTGCACCGAGCATCCTGTACTGGGCACCCAGCACTACTCTGAGCATCCTGCACCGAACAC